AAGTCTCTCCCAACATAGGCTTGACGAGCAGCATAAACAGAAGTCAAATAAATAGGTCGTACTAGTCTGGGAGCCACAACTCTGACATGTAGGAACTGGATATGATCATCCACAATAGTAACGATAGTACCCACATTCCAGAATACCCAAATTTTATTCGACTCATTCTGAACCCCAATGTCGAAATGCATATAACGACGAACAAAATCAAACCTACTCTCTAAAATCATAGGCTCCAAAATAACTAAGATATAAACCTGATGAAGCTGAATAAGTTTTCTCAGGAGCCTGCGAGTAGCTACACTAGCTATACCTCTCAGATTCCAGATGATGACACTCATTTGGATGTACGTGAAGAGTATCCTGTGATCGACTCCTGGTCATCATCCCGGGTATTGAATTGTTAGTAACTTTTGAATGTCTATTCCGACTTACTAGGACAAAACCATCATCATCTGTCCTACCATCTAGACCAGTCAAATCATCAAAAGAAGATCTACGAAAAGGACCCTGCTGATTAACTTTAACTTGATAGAAACCCCCTGAATCTGACTGCTCTGTAGAAAGAGGAGCCTCCATATTTTGCTAACCCTGTACAATAGGCACATCCGCACTACTAAAGCCCTGCGGTTTCTCTAGCATATCCATCAAGAAAAAGTTAAAGTATGTAGGAGTAACTGGCATAAAAGCACAGTTGATAGGGACCGAAGCCTGAATACCTGAACGATCAACTGATGTAACAACAGGTGGACTCGGAGGAACAACCATTTGAGGAGAAACTATAGAATGATATAGTGGCAAAAAAGTAGTAGTCTATGGGTCAGGGTACTAGTAATAGGTGGAGCAATAAAAATAGTAACTGTCTGAGCTGTAGCAATAGTGGTGCCGGTAATAATAGGAGGAATATAAATAATATTCTCGGAAGTGGAATGAGAAGTCACATCGGACAGGCCATCCTGTCTCTTCTGATTGCGCTTAACTGGTATCCATCTCTCAATCACAGTTGCCTTCTCCTTGTCCTTATCCTTAACCGATGCTCGTGGAGGCTTAAGAGCATGATCAACAACCAAAGGGGAGCCGATGGTGGAGGATGATGTAAGTTACTGGAGCATTTTTCCTCCATATGTCAAAAATGTCTACATCGAAAACAAAATTCCGGAACCTTATCATAAACAATGAGTTGCCAATAACCACCCCATTTTTCCCCCTCAATCCAGACTCTGTCAGGAAGTCTATATTCCAAGTCAACCTCAATACATACCCTGGCTTCACTAGGGCGATAAAGATCAGAAGTTGCTTCGTCAATGCGAAGTGGAAGTCTGATAGCCTTGGATATGGCGAATAGTACACTCTTAGCCTGAAAATGAATTTAAGCAAAGGAAATGACACCTAAACAGGAGCAATAGGAACCTCATAATGTAGATTGAAACTAGGGGTTCATTTAAAGACACGTATAAGGCAACCAACTATATACCAAGTGGATTTGATGAATAATCGTAAATAATCATCCTCGTACTCCATATGAATAATAATATGTGCATCATCAATAAGTCCAATATCATAATCACCAATAAAGCCAAAACGAAAAAAAATTCACGCACCTTATGCATGGAGGGTTTGCGATGCACAATTTACCAACAAGCATAAATATGTAGGCCTCAGCTAAGAATTGCTCATCTAATTCATCAAAGAATACAACTAGCTCACCATGCTGGATATGTCTGGAGTCCTCAAGGGCACGAAGGACATGCACAAATGATTTCTTCTGACTCCTATCGGCTTATTGAATCACGGGTTTGCAATTGAGTGCTGCAGCGTAAGATCGAGGAGCTTGGGAAGCTCCAGTTACTCCAGGTGGAAGAATAGATGGTTTAGATGAGTTCTGAGCCAGCAAGGGAGAGCTGGTCTATTTTGCGCATTTCTGGTCAGCTTAGTCCGAGTCTGAGATCCATTTCCCAATTTGGATGCGACATGATCAATTTTGAATGAAACCGGTGGAGGGGGTTCAAAGTTAGAGGTAAGTGTCGTCGAGCTATTGGCAAATTGAATTGGCATCGAAGTTGTATTGATATAAACATATTTCAATGTTGGGGTTGCCATATCAATTGTAGAAGCCAAGTTAGCCAACTTTGGAATTGGGGAAAGTTCAACAACCTTGTGAGGAGGGGCGAAATTGGAGCTCAAATGACCATCAATTCTTGTAATTGGTAAAGTACCCATAAACTTTTGACCCTCAATACAAGTTGTAACATTCGAATTTGGTGGTAGAATATTAGAAATAGCCTCAATTGCAGCCCTTGACCTACCTTCACGCTCAAGCTCCATTGAAGAAATCAATTCAGAATTTTGTGGGTTAATTGGATCAATTGTTGGATTACCCATAGTGTTAGTAACCTCACTAAGAGTTCCCCTCTTGAATTGAACATTTGCAGCAAAAAGGATTCATCAATTTCCCCCATTTTCGATTTTTTCGCTAAGAATCCTAATTCTTTCAACAAATTCAGCAAGGTTAGGATGAAATTGACCATGACCCATGGTTGGGTTATGGTCACTAGAGGGTGGGGAAGCTTTCCCAGCTGGTCCGCGACCATGGGTCACAGTGACGGCACCGAAATCAGACAAAAAATGAACCAAATTCGCGACATTCGCGACTGCGATTTTTCCCAATCCAAATTCGATATGTTGTGTTGCTTCTTGGGATGAATTGAAACCATGGCTAGTTGCATCTAAGGGTGGGCTGCTGGATGGTGTTGGTTCACGACCGGATTGCCTAGTAGAGGTGGGTTTTCCGGCAGTTGACTCAGTTTTGCCTGGCTGTTTTTCTTTGCTGATTTCTGTTGAATTAATGGATGAAGTTGGGACTTGTTGGGCGGGAATTGAAGCTGAGGTTGAGAAGATTATGTTGGTAACCAAGTCCAGTGGTTTAGGTGGCCGGAATGTGTTAGAAAAAGGCTCCATTTACCGGTGGCAAAAGGGGCCAAAAAAAGCCCCATAAGCAGAAAACCTAGGTCGTCATCTGTGTTTCTTAAATAATGAAGAACTTGCTGGAAGATGAAAACCTAGGTCCCCATCAGCTAAATATCTTTCTTTGTATTAAGATTATTAAAGAACCGAATAACTAGATTTAAATTCCAAATTGCATCAAAATGCCTCGATTGTAACAATCAGGAAACTCTGGTTCATGTCTTCATGGAAAGTCAAGTTGCCCAAAGCATATGGAACTATTATTCTGGCTACTTCGCTTTCCATGAAGAAATATTAATGTTAGATTTAAATAACCGTTGTGGGTTAAATGCTCTTTGTAATGGAAGTAATACTTACATATTTATTGCTACCAAAACGTCACATGGAGGTAATGCTCTCAAGTCCTCCTTCGATCTGTAGAAACTTTTCAATCAATAAAATAGGGTTGGGAAAGCTAATCACCGGCAAGGAGTCAAGTTGTAGTCCTAAAAATCATGCCTTGGTTTTGGTGGTATTTCGCCTAAAAGAAAAAAAGAAAACATTTAAGTGAACATGGAAAAAAAAAAATTATATATATATATATATACACACACACACATATACATATATCAAACCACTAGGTTTAAGTTTTAAAAACTCTCAAACTGCTAAAAATAGTTTGGTTTAGATGGGGTTTTCTCAAACTGTTTTAAGGTTTTCTACGAAAATATATCAAAAACCGAATGCTTATACCTCTAGATCAGGCCTTAGTTAGCCTCCTATTTTAAAGAACGCCAAATTGTATCTGGGAAAAAAAATACACGCATCTGCAAGATAAATAAACGTTTACAGGTATAAGAGGGTGCACAATTTATTAAGTTTTATGGTTTCATTAGTCCTTATACATTCAGAAATATTGATCCCTTGTTCCAGTTTTTTAGGCCTGTGGTTCAATATTAAAACTTAGGATGTTATCTTAAAGGCTCATCGTTATCAATAGGAGTTGCTCAAACTCTTTTCTAATTTTTATCTAAAGTTTATTGAACTCAAACTTCTACTGCCTAAGCAACTCAAATGGCTAATATTCATGCATGTATGTATAGTTAAACAGCATGGAAAAAATTTTCTCGAAAAGAGTTCCATTTTGAACCAAAATGCTTAATCCAATCTTCCTTGGATTTGTAATGTGGAAGATACTGCTTCATCTTTATTCCAGCTCTATCACAGAATTCCAGAATTTCATTCTTTTGATTGTCCAAATATTGCTCGTCACTGAAACTGCCTGAATGCAATAGTACCACACAGTAGAAGATATCCTCATCTGGTGTAACTGCGGACATCCTATCATCCCATCCACACAATTTAGTAATAAATTTCAATTAGGCCATGTGAACTAGAAATAATTTTTTCTCGGATTGAAAAACAAAGCAGTCAATGGATTTTGTATCCCTGGGAATATATGTGCAGCCTGAATTGCATTTCAGATCAAGATTAAGTACTTTATTTTAGTTGATGGGTAGACAAGGAGGGGCCCTGTGCGCATTTTTTGTCTGTGAATAATGTCTTCAAAAGCACCAGCGTTGAAATCCATGATACAGGACTTTGGTATAAAAAGAGTCAGCCGTGGATGAGGGACATCCCATAACCCTTTTGATTTTAGGGTTATTTCCCCTCGTCGAACTCTATTGAGGAAATCAACATAGGTTTGGTCTTTCCCTCCTGCAGCAGCTCAACTTCCTGCAAGAACAAGAAAGAAAAAAATAAAAACTATTTAGGCCTATAATTGATCGACTAGTGTCCAGTATTAAGAAACAAGTGTAAACGCGTACTTTATCAACTGAGGTTATGGTCTCATCATCGTAATACTTGGCCAAGTCTAAGCAATACACGATGCCATGTTTCTTCAACAGAGAACTAATTTGGGATTCATGGGCAGGTGGGAAAAAGGAAGATCTCCAGTTATTTGCAGGAGTGTAGTCCATCATTACAGAGCCCTCCAAATATTCTAGACCCTTGATTGAGATGAGATGTTCCTGATCTTTTGTGAAGATTGAGAAATCACAGTATAGCATTCTCACCCATTTCACCTAACACAAATTAGCAATACTACAAACTTGAGCACAGTATATAGGAGGAGATTAACAATATGGCACATAAATTCAATTGCTTGATGTTATTCAGGAAAGAGAAAATTAGCATATATGATCACACTGGTTTTTTGACAAAGGCCTTTTTTTTTTTTTCAGTGGAGTCAATCATCTTGTCACAAAAGTTCAAAATATTAGGTAGGTCAAATTCATTTTTGTGTAAGTCATGTTTACATCTTCAACACGCTCTTCATGTACAAGTCATATTCGTTATTTCATAAAAGGCGTAACATGTAAACAATTTTTATAAGATTTGAATTTTGAACTTTACATGCTCAGGCACCTTATTAATTTAGTGGAATTGCAAATAACATAAACTGACAAACTAGGTTGGTTTGTATAGTACCCTGGCATAGGATTCAATATTTCAGTATTAACTGCAAACACAAATATCTTATGCCACACAGATTAATGAACTTACAGTAAACTTTTTCCATTATGACAAAGTATTAACCTCATTATACTAACTCTTTTTGGTGCTTTTGGTAGGAGAATGCTTGCCCTAGTTATGATACCAAACTGCCCCAGACTTCATCTCATGCCACAGACCTATGAACGTCATCATGGAGCGAGGTTCGAACAAGACGCTTTACCTTGACTAAGCGAAAATTAAGCGATCAACTGTTAAGTTGACCAATTTATTAATTTATTTTATTGTTAGCCTTTTTTAGAAAAAACATTTTATTTGACTTTAGTTTATTAACTTTTTTATTTTTTTTCCTTTTTTTAAAAGGTTTTTATTTGACTTTGATTTCAAATTTTTAAATAAATTTATCCATACAAAAGTCAAAAATGACTTTATTCGAAAAGAATTTAGATAAAATTTAACCTACGATACTATCTATATTATTTAATTGAGATTTATCATTTTGATGGAAGCTTTGAAAATATGCACTTGACTTGTCTTGTTGAAAGTTAAAACTATTAAAAACAGTTTAGATTTTGCATTTTGAAAACTTGAAAATTATTTAATTGATTAATTGTAGGAATTATTAAATAAATTAGTATTTTACAAACTTGGAGGTTTAGTATGTATTATTTTATTTATTAGATGATTTTTAGAATGATTAAGTATTTAAAATAATAATAAAAATAAGTAATTTTTTTTTCACGCATAACCACAATTTACACTTTTTAAAACACTATCGCTACTATGTGCTATAACTCTTATTCTTTCCGAACAAAGTAGAAATCACAAATCTATTTAGTTATTGGCCAAATAATTGAAAAGCATTAAAAACATAATAATCATTTAAACCAAACAATTATTAAAGTCAAAATCTTGAAATTAACATTAAAGTATCAAAATATAGAGTTCATTGTTATCCTAACATCAATACAATTAGCCGAGCATCGTGATATTCAAAAACACAATTGAAATGATGGTACATCACTTGGAATTTAAGTTTAGAAAAAAGATGAAAAATATTGAAGTATTGACTCACATTGACACTTCTTGAATAATCTTCTTGACTCTTCTTCTTCTTCTTCTTCAAATTTGTGTTTCGTATATATTAAAGCTTCTCCCTTTGAATGACAGATGAAAATATGTATATATACATCCCAATTTAGGTCAAACTCATGCTCCAATTGCGTTCATTGTAGAAGTTGAATTAAAATGGGAAACAAAATATGGATTGCCTCAGAATGCCATGCAATGGCATGTTCTAACTCTGAATATGCTAGTGATACAATTATTCCTCTTTTGATCGCCTATGGTCTGCCTTGCGATCGCAAGAAATTTGAATCCGTGAGTAACTTATCAAATTAAGAAAATAGTTTCATCATGATATAAATAGATTGTTGTCCATAACATATTTTATAAACTATTTGACATTAATTAGTGAATACGAACAATTGTGTTCATTCACATAAAAAGGATTTTTTTTCCTAGGAGACCAGGTAAAAGTGAAAAAAAATAAAAAAAATTGTCGAACTAATTTTTTAAAAAGTGTCCATTTGCTTATATGACTAAAATACTTTTATATTAGTGTCCTATGCTTTTATGGACATTTTCTCTTACATGCTTAGTTTATACCTGGCTGTAGTGGGAATAGTCAGTATGTACGCACTATACCATGTTCTTTTTCTCATACATAGCTTAACCTTATCCGTGCTTCCCTTCTTCAATGATGATTGAGCTGCAACAAGGATTACACAACACCCACAAGTGCCCAAGTCGTTTATATTGGACAGAATCCCACATCGTGAAGAGGCTGAATACTAAGTTGTTGCTCTTACTAATTCTTTGCTATTTTTCTTTTGCTAATAAAATTAAAATGTCGACTCTCTAATTAGCACATCATCTACTAAGATAACGTTAGCGCCACTCATCTCTCTGTTAACACTGTCATCTACTATGATAATATTAGCCCATCATCTAGTATGATGTCTCACAAATGAAGCTCATCATCATTCACTTACATGCTGGTCAAGTATTATATAGACTTAGGGCTTACTCTGAGGCTATGTAGAAGGTGCGGTTGCACATGG